GGGAATGTTCCATTAGGCCACAAATGTAGGTTGATAGGGAGGTGGCCAAGCAGTAGGAGACAGTACCTTGCGAGTCTGAACTTCTTGCTTATGTAGTTTTCTTGTGCCTTTTAGTCATGTTTAAATTCAGTCAGTTACGTATAATTCTCATCTTAAAATAGAATTCTGCTGTGCATATCTAGTTATGTAGTTTGATGAACTAAACAGTGGTTAGTTCATGATAATATTTCTAGATGCATAGTTACTTGGAATAACATAGTCAGATGTTGGGTACCAGCCAGCACCCAGGAGTTACTTTCCAAATATAGAGCAGTTATTGGCTTATTTCCTCTACACAGCATCTCACAAGCTCCCCAATCTGATTATTTGTTATGATACAGTTTGAGGTCTCCAGAAATTAGCCTCAGTTCTGAGCCTTTAGCTAATAACTCCCAGAAGATTTTGGTATTTTATTTTCCTTAGTGCACAGTCACTCTGAAAAGTGTCTGTAGGTCCCACTGGGAAAGGTTTGATGTAAGATTCACAGTATACACCAGTGGCTGCAAGATCATTCCTTAGAGGTACCCTTTCTTCCCCTCAGTTGAGTAAGAAGTTTAGAAAACATACTACAGCATCTTGAGTTAGACTTTCTTGCAGACCTAGAGATTTTTTTCTGCCTGAATATGTCAAGCAGTATCCAATAGGTGGCCCAATTATTTCATTTTAAAGAATGCTCTGATTAGCTATCACCACAAATCCCTGTGGGCCAAAAATTCACTAATGACCATTCAAATCCTGTGGTTATTGTGGTAGGTCCACTCACCTTGTCTTAGATAATTAAGCCCTGTCACCTGACTTCCACTGCTCTGGGATTCCATAATTCACATTAAGATGAGGTAGGACAATTCTCTTGCAGCATTCTCCACCATCGTCTCCAGCCTACAAAGCACAGGCCCACAGAAATCTTCAAAGATGCTCTTGACCCTCTCACGAATGCATTTCTTAATGCCTCGGAGTATGTCTTCACAAATGCTGCTATCCCATATATCACAGTTCTATTCCTTCTCTACTAGTGTCCTTACTTTATTGTAAAAGCGACTGCATTTGGAGCATTTAATTGGCAGCAGAACTGCAACACCACGAAGACCTAGCCTTGGTTCACAGCTATATCTACCCTAAGATGAGGGATTCCTTCAACCCTGCCTTAGAGGCTTTCTGGTGCTGTATATATGTTCTCTGTTGTATTTTTGTAACTTCCAATGTCCTCTTTTTTCCATACATACTCTCTAGGGTTGTCAGATGAACACAGATGACTCCAGAAACATTTTGGTAATTATTTTTGTTTTAGTACTTAAGTAGCATAACCATTTGATTTCTCAAAGATTTGGATTTCACTTGCACTTCATTTCATGCCACCAGTGGTGTATGAGTTATCATCATACTACTACATACCACGTACTTGTGAACCTCTCCTATCGCCTTCTCCCTACTGTTCTCAACCCTGTTGTCAGTAGGTTATTTTTTTCCCTCAAATTTACAAGGAACCCAATTCCTGGGGTGACTTTCTGTATCTGTTACTGTACCTGAAAAGTACATTGCAGGAAACAGGGGGTATATTTGCAGTGGAAAATTTGAGGGCAGTTCTTAATAAAGGAGAATAGACAAAGGTATGGGAAGGGTATTAGAGAACAAAAGTGAGTAGTGCAATACACCATGGCTACTAAAGGTGAGATTACCAGAAGTAGGCCTGAGGCACAGAGGGAAAGAGGGGTAATTAAAAGTTGGAGGTGCAGAGCCTAGGAATATTGGGAGAAGGGACTCCACCAGCATCTGACAACACTGCAGGGAACAAGTTGGGAAACAAATTTCCTGACTGCACTCACCACTGCTGGCTCCCGGAGGATGAGGGAGCCCTTTGATGTGGTCCATATAGGTCAGAGTCCCTTGGGAGACAGAGCAGGGTAAAGAAGAATGGAGAGTGAATTGGGATAGGAAGATGAGGAGATATCCACAAATGAGTGAGGGCCATGTTAACAGCACTTATTAGGAATTGTGCCTGCAGCTTTATGCATATGGTAAGGAGGAGGATAAAAAGCATATTATTTTGTGAGGGTGAACTCCAGCAGGGCTGAGATTTGCCTGAGCTTTCTATCAAAATAAGAAATGTGCCTGCGTGGCATTGACCCATGGTAAAGGCATAAAACATATTGATTAAGAGTGCTGTTTGATAATCATGGGTCTGAGGAATTTGGGATGATTTTTACCAGCCTGTTAGTTTTATTTATGATAGTGAGATTGATCATTTAAATATAGTCTCAGTGAACCACATTGCCAAAGGCTCTGCCGTTGAGACTGGCTACATAGCAAGAATATGCTTACACAACCAGTAATGCACCAGAAACCTGGACTGAGACTCTATTTTGCGTTCTCTGGTTTCAAAGTATTTTATGCATACATTAATGGTTCATGATCTGAAAAGAGAAGTGCATCCTGCCAGGGCTATTATAAAGAGGGAAGATAATCAAAGTTCATACCTGGCCACTCCAGATCCCTTACTATTAGACAGCTTTTGACTATGATGTTTCCCCTTAATGCTGCTGCTATGTTGCATCCATTTTTTTTTTTTTCTCCAACGAACTGTAGATTTGCAATCATCACCATTTGGGGTCCCAAGAGACTTCTTTAGCAGTGGAACTGTTCAGCTGCCACAGTTATCATGGCATCTGGAGGAGGAAATACACTATACTATGATATGCTTTGACTTTGCCTTTGTTTATAGGTGTGGTTTGCTCTAAAGATACTTTCAGGTTCTATGCAATAAATATATTAAACCTTGAGTTTATGGATTTTTACTCTTAACCTTTGTTTTAGAACTTAGAAAAGCCTTCACCTTCCCCACCAAAAAAGAGACACTGTAAAATCTTTTTTTCTGCTTAACTTATGGTTTACAGTTAATATGATCGAGATCATAATGAATATATAAATCAGTAGTGATTAGCCTTTATTATGAATCAGAATCACCTAGGCAGCCTGCTTAAGATGGAAATTATAGAGCTCCACCTAGTGGATCTGACGTGGGGATTATAAGTTCACATTTTTGGTGAAGTCTTAAGGTGATTCTGACATGTGACAAACTAGGATACTTTAAAAATGCATTAATAAATGAGATAAGGTTAAATTCGTGGTACAAACCCTTCTCCATGGTGTTCCTTTTAGAATTGCAAGTAAATGCTGCTAGAGATATAGAGTCCACAGTTATTTATGTAGACAGGGAATGATCTTGGACAAGAATTCTTGACTCAGGTATTATTATTTACAAATTTATCATGAACCTATTACTTGTCAGGCACTGTGCTAGGCATTAGGGATACCAGGATAAAGAACAGGTTGTGCTTTGACAAGCAGAGTCCAATGTTCCTCAATTTTAGAAAACCTCACCCCACAGTCAGAAACATATTGTTCAAATATACATAACTGAAATACAAATTTCAGAAAATAATATTAATCCTGCCTACCTGCCATATAATGTGATGTTTACTATCTGGTTCTGGTTGAATCTATTATATCCTATTTCATTTAAAAATATTGCAGGTCTTGACCTGCTGAATTTGTTTTAAACTCTGCAAATGTAGGAAGGTGAAACTTCAGTTTGACAAACACAGGTCCATTTAAAAGTATGTGATGTGCATCCTATGAAGCACATGTGTTTATCCTTCTAGGCACATGTATCATGAGAAGGTGGAATTGGGAAGACTGAGAGTTTCCTCATTAACCTTGCTTCTCAAACTTTAAGTTGTACAGGAATCACCTGCAGATCTTATTAAAACCAGAAAAGATTCTCATTCAGTAGGTCTGGGGTGAGGATCTGAGATTCTACATTTCTATCTTTCAGTTGATGCTGATGCAGCTAGTCCATGAACCACTATTTGAGTAGCATTGCTCTAAAAATTACAAATGTGGGTAGGGGTGTTAAACTGGTAAGGTGAGACCTGGAAGAACTTTCCTAGAAGAGAAATTCCTCTAAGGAAAGATGAGTCAAGCATACAAGTCACTGACAGATGAGAACAGATGAATGTGTGTCACTCAAATTTTACCCCAGCCTTCTATCCTTGAATCTGGTGGAAAGATGGCTGTATGCAAACACTTCCAAACCAACAAGCATAGAAACAATTGTTTTACTAAAAATCTGAAATCCCCCAGGGACTGAAGTATCACTGAGGTGTTACCCTATTGGGCGAGTATAACTCTAAAGTGAGGAAAGGGACTTTATCCACATTTTCGTAGGTGTCGTGGAATGGGGTCAGTAGGCTTGGCTCACTGGGGACTCCAGGGAAATCAACCGGACCTTGTTATCTTGAGAACTTCAGCCCATCAGCATCAATGGGAGCTTTAGGAGGGTGCAAGATTTATAAGAAGGAGCGCAGTGCCCAGTGGACATGACATTGTCTAAGAAAGGATGGCACCCACCTTTCAGTTTCCTAGACTTATTCCTGGATACAGGTAAGATTTACCCTAGTTCTCTTCCAAGTGTCTGAGGGGGTATTTTTTCTGCTAGAGCAGGGGAGAAGGTAGATGCCAACCCAACACATATATTCTCTACCTCATCCAACCCACTCAGCAGTTCTGAAAAGCGAAGTATTATCTCCATTTGACAAACAACAAGACTGTCCATTAGAGCAATGGATCTGTAATAACCCCAGGTTGACTTCTCCAGATGAGTCCCACAGGTAGGTAATGTGAATTTTACCTATCGTTTTAAGTTCTGACAACAAGAACTTTAAGTGTCTCTACTGAACTTCATAAGTTCACTGGACAGTTATTCTCTTTGTTTTTTACATACTGTGTTCTGATTTTTAAAAATATTTTATTATTTTTGTGAGAAAAGTAATTTGTGTTCTCTGGGAAAAGAAAGATTAGTAGAAAGAAAGAAAACAAAGAAATGAAATCACCTGCTAGCTCACAACTCAGAAAACCACTGTTAACCTTTCATGTATTTAACAAAAACAGACAGATTCTGCAGATGATATTACAAGCTGCTTTATTTTTCCATGAATCATGACGTCTCTGAAATGCACAGGTGTGAAAATCTGCTACTGAAACATAGAGCAAGCAAGCACTGGCAGGTGGGTCAAAAGGCTACTGGTAGCAGGAGGAACAACTAAAGCAAAGTATTACCATAAGGTTAAAACATATGGCCTGATAAATGCCTGCCAGGGACACTACACGTAAGGAATGTCTTCAGTGTCCCTTCGTGGGGCCCTGCAGCCACCCCTGAATTCCCTTGGACCCCTAGGATAGAAGGGGTCCTGTAAATTTCTTTGCATCCACAAAAACGCCCCCAATTTCTGTTTGCTTTTTCTCCTTTTATCCTCCACCCTAGCCATGTTGTCAAATTCTCTTATCATGTCCTCATTGCTGAAATTCATATCATGTATGGCTTCCTTATATTGCTTGAGGTACTGAGCCAGCCCCTTGTTTGTTTTTCTTTTGGCTTTCCTGGGTATATCATCCTCAGCTGGGCGCTTTCCTGCAGACCTCCTTTCACTTTCTGGCTCTCCCTCACTCTCTGGCTCTCTTTCACTGTCTGGCTCTCGTTCCCCCTCTGCCCTTCCCCCTCTCTCTGGCTTTCCCTCTCTCTCTGATCCTCCCTCCATCTTTGACTTTCCCTTCCTCTCTGACTTTCCTTCTCCTTTTGCCTTTCCTGCACTCTCTGGCTTTTCTTTATCCTTTAACGGTTCCTCATCTCCTGTCTTGCCCTTGTTTTCTGTCTTTCTCTCGTTTTCTAACGTCTTGTCTTCCAGAGTACAAGCTACTTCTGGCTTTCCCTCGTCCGGTGGCTGTTCTTCATTTTCTATCTTTCCTTGGTTCCAAAGCATTCCTTCATTTTCATTGAAGAATTTTTCCATGTCGAGATTTCCCCTCCTTTTCCTTTCCTGGGGGATGCGGGTTGAGGGAAGGGGAGACAAAGAGGAGACATGGGAGACTGAGGGCCTGGCGTGGAATGCAGGTCTGGATACTACTTGCATCTCACCCCTGGTGAGGGTTCCCCTAAGCTGACCGGACCTCCAAGAGGGCCTTCTGCCCACCACATAGCCTGCCACTCCTCCCACACACGTGAGCCAGCTGTTCCCTGACAGGCCCTGCCACCTTCTCTGCACTGGTTCAGCCTGGTAAGGTGTGTGTTCATGTGGGTGGGTGGAAGGGCAGGGGCCCCGATTCGGCCCTAGCTGGGTCCTTCACACTCTCAACCCTTGTGGGCCCCTGTCCATGCAGCCCCCTGCTTTCACGGACCTGCGGGGGATTCTGGACAGGTTGCTCCTCCTTTTCAGGCCTCTTAGAGCGCTGGGAACAACAGACACGCAGACCTGCGGACAGATAGGAGACAGGGGCAGGGACTGCGCGCTCAGCGGGCTCACAGGGGACTCGGTTCCCTTTCCTGAGTCCAGGCCCTGTTCACCCAATGTTTTTCTCCCCTACATCCCCCGCACCCCAACCGCCATTTCTTTCCAGGCCTCGGGCACCAAACCAGGATGCTTTCCAAACTGCGTTTGTCTCTGTGTCCCCCTTCCCTGAGACAACCTGCCCCAGCGCCACCCCATTTTTGCGGAGATCAAGTGTTTCTATGGGCATAGATTGTGAGAAGGGATTATTTCTAGAATATGTCTACGTTTCACTGTCGCACTGCGGAGTCGCTACCCCCACCCCTCATTTCTAGCAGTAAAAATGGATGGATGACTCAGTGCAAGGGGGCGTCGTGAAGGCGAGCCAGGCTCGCTTCGGGAGTTCTCCCTCCCCTGTCCCCACCCCGGTCCGCTCCGCAGGCATCCCCTTCCTCACCAATCTACAGGATTCCTTCTCCGCTCCCTCCCCAATCCTACTGCCAGCCCCCTCCACCCCTGTCCCAGGGGCCGCCGACAGCGCCCGCTTTCACACTGACCTGCGGGTACCCAGGACACGCCTGTGCTTCCTCCGGCTCGCGGAAGCCGGCTCGCTGCTCCCCAGCAGTCTGGGCAGCTCAGACAGCTTATTCTGCGCGGGCGCCGGGACCCGACCGCTGGGCTGGCTGGCGGGCTGGCGTGGGGGCTGGTGCCCACGTAGGCGTCCGACGGGTCACGTGAGCGCCGCGTCACTGGAGCTCGGCCCAGCTCTTGCCCGACACACCTCACCCTGGAGCTCGGCGCCCCCTCTTGCCTGACATACCTCATCTTCCATCCCTGAGGGACCGGAGGCTGGGGACTGTCGGAGTCTCGGTGCGTTTGTGTAGCAAAGTGGGGTCGCGGAGAAGAGGAGGAGGGGTGGCTTTCTGACCCCAGGTGCTTTACCTGACGCAGCTCACAGCATCCTCGCAAGGCATCTCTCTCTGATGCCCATTATCGCCAGGTGTGACAGCTGATCAAAGAGGGTACCTGACTTTGCCAAGAGCGCTCAGCCCCAGAACTCCACAGCCCACTTTCAATACTGGCTCTGCCTGACTCCAGAGCCCGGGGTAGTGACGCCTGCCAGGAAGCTGAGCTGCCACCTTGAGTGGCGGTGTTCCTGGGGTTCTGTCCTGGGCTTCCTCTCTCCTCAGTCCTCAAGTTGTCTCTCCCTGTGTGATCTCATTCATTTCCAGAAAGCACCGATGACTCCCAGATCTACATCTCCAGGCTATTCCCTTCTCCGTGTCTCATATCAACTTTGCCAACTCTCTATTGGACATCACCGCCCGAGAGTCCTTGAGGGACCTAAAAGCCCGTGTACCCCAAATTTATTTCACCAACTTCCTTCTTGCCATCTCCCATGGCCTCTCTGTGCACTTGAAACTTACCTTCCAACATTTGATCAGTTTTCATAGAGAGAGAATCTCAGACAGGTAGAAAAGAAAGCATTAAAACCTTTTAAATATGAATTTCAGATGCACAAATTCATCATAGTCCTTGGTTTACAAGACACCCTTATTATTGATCCCTGCTTGTCCCTCTTCCTTCCCTTTTCTTTCCTGTCCTGTTATGTCTTTCCCTGCCCATCCTTTGTCTTTTTTTCTTTCCTTTTCTTTCACATTTGTGAAGCTACCACCCACAAAAACTAAAAGTTACCAATATTTTAACTTCTACAGTGTAGTGACATGTATATGTATATATACACATATGTTTATTTATACACACATATATGTGTAGATGTATATTGTGTACATATATATGTGTATGTCGTGTGTTTTTTTGTGTGTGTAAATCTGGGCAACAACTATTTTGGTTTGCAAAATACCTTATCATGATTATATGATTATGAATTATGTATGTTACACAAACAATTCTGATTATATTTCTGCTACACATCTTCATTTAGTAAAACCTCGATCTTCCTACAATATTTTGCTCTATCAATATGTGTGTTTGTCATTATCACCACATAACCAACAGTACTGTCCTCAATGTTGAATTTTTTCCTGAATTATAGAGGCTAGGTGTTTCCATTTCCTCAGTATAAACTTTCATAAAATTATTATAATTATTCAAGAATTTGATGAAAATAATATCAAATCAGTTGAAAAGAACTGCTTTTCTGTTTTAATCATCTAATTATAGTGATTTTAAGCTATCTTTGGTAACTATTTGCTAAGTTATTTTGGTAATGGAGCCAAAGTATTAACAACTATTTCTCCTCTTTTAAAACATATACACAAAAATGTGGAATTCAAAATTAGTATCATTAAATTCAAAGAAATGTCATTTTATCTAAATTAAAAGATCTGTTCACAAAATGAGAAGTCAACACAACTTTTGCATTTGCGTGTAATAAATTGACACATTGTTCCTCAAGTAGTTACTACCTTTGGAAGAAGATATAATGACAGTTCTCTTGATGCATAATATATGTTGATTAAACATATTTTAAGTTAAATGTTTGTCATCCATTTTCTTAGAAAAGTAACCATTACTGAACATACCATTCACTAGAGACCTTTTGTTTCTTATTGCAGAATAAAAGTATCATTTCCTTTGCCGGGGGAGATGCGCTCTTATTTTTTGAATTTCCAGCTTTTCTGCCCTGCTTTTTCCCCATCTTTGTGGTTTTATCTGCCTCTGGTCTTTGATGATGGTGATGTACTGATGGGGTTTTGGTGTAGGTGTCCTTCCTGTTTGATAGTTTTCCTTCTAACAGTCAGGACCCTCAGCTGTAGGTCTGTTGGAGATTGCTTGAGGTCCACTCCAGACCCTGTTTGCCTGGGTATCAGCAGCAGAGGCTGCAGAAGATAGAATATTTCTGAACAGCGAGTGTACCTGTCTGATTCTTGCTTTGGAAGCTTCCTCTCAGGGGTGTACTCCTCTCTGTGAGGTGTGGGGTGTCAGACTGCCCCTAGTGGGGGATGTCTCCCAGTTAGGCTACTCAGGGGTCAGGGACCCACTTGAGCAGGGAGTCTGTCCCTTCTCAGATCTCAACCTCCGTGTTGGGAGATCCACTGCTCTCTTCAAAGCTGTCAGACAGAGTCGTTTGCGTCTGCAGAAGTGTCTGCTGCGTTTGTTTAGTTTACTGTGCCCTGTCCCCAGAGGTGGAGTCTACAGAGACAGGCAGGTTTCCTTGAGCTGCTGTGAGCTCCACCCAGTTCGAGCTTCCCAGCAGCTTTGTTTACCTACTTAAGCCTCAGCAATGGCGGGCGCCCCTCCCCCAGCCTCGCTGCTGCCTTGCCGGTAGATCACAGACTGCTGCGCTAGCAATGAGGGAGGCTCCGTGGGTGTGGGACCCTCCCGGCCAGGTGTGGGATATGATCTCCTGGTGTGCCTGTTTGCTTAAAGCGCAGTATTGGGGTGGGAGTTACCCGATTTTCCAGGTGTTGTGTGTCTCAGTTCCCCTGGCTAGGAAAAGGGACTCCCTTCCCCCTTGCGCTTCCCAGGTGAGGCAATGCCTCGCCCTGCTTCAGCTCTCGCTGGTCGGGCTGCAGCAGCTGACCAGCACCCATCGTCCGGCACTCCCCAGTGAGATGAACCCAGTACCTCAGTTGAAAATGCAGAAATCACCGGTCTTCTGTGTCGCTCGCGCTGGGAGTTGGAGACTGGAGCTGCTCCTATTCGGCCATCTTGCTCCGCCCCCTCCATCCTTTCATCATTCTATAATGACCTTCTTTGTCCTTTTGTTGCTGGTTTTGATTTAAATTCTGTTTTATGTACTGTATCTGTTTGCATAAAATATTCCTCTCCCTTAACTTTCAGTCTACATGTCCTTACAAGTTAAATGAGTTTCTTCCGGGAAGCATAAGTTGGGTCATGTTTTTTTACACATTTCAACCAGTCTATACATTTTAAGTGGGGAATTTAATCTGTTTACATTCAAGATTATAATTGATAGGTGAGGAGTTATTGCTGTCATATATGCTAATTCTTTTCTGATTTTTAGTATGTTCTTTGTTCTTTTATTCTCTCTTAACGTTTAACATTGTAATTTGGTGGTTTTCTGCCGTGTAACATTTGATTTCTTTCTCATTTGTGTGTCTGCTCTATCAGTAAGTTTTTTTTCAATATGTATGGATTTCATTTCTTTCTTTTTCTTGCCCCATTGCAGTGTGTAGAACTTTCAGTACTATGTTGAATAAGAGGGATAAAAGTGGACATCTTTGCTTTGTTTCTGATCTTTTATTTTTATTTTACTTTAACTTCTGGGATGCAAGTGCAGAACGTGTAGGTTATATAGGTATATGTGTGTCATGGTGGTTTGCTGAACCTATCAACCCATCATCTAGGTTTTAAGCCCTGCATGCATTTGCTATTTGTTCTAATGCTCTCCCTCCCCTGGCCCCCCACACCCCGACTGGCCCTGGTGTTTGTTGTTCCCCTCCCTGTGTCCATGTGCTCTCATTGTTCAACTCCCACTTATAAGAGAATCCTTTCCCCATTGCTTGTTTTTGTCAGGTTTGTTGAAGATCAGATGAATGTAGATGTGAAGTGTTATTTTTGAGTTCTCTGTTATGTTACATTGGTCTGTATTTCTTTTTCTTTACCAGAACCATGCTGCTTTGGTTACTGTAGGCCTGCAGTATTTTTGAAGTCAGGTAGTATAGTGCCTCCTGCTTTGTTATCTTTGCTTAGGATTGTCTTGGCTATACAGGCTCTTATTTGGTTCCATATGAAATTTAAAGTAGTTTTTTTTCTAATTCTGTGAACAATTTCAATGGCAGTTTGATGGGAATAGCATTAAATCTATAAATTACTTTGGGCAGTATGGCCATTTTCATGGTGTTGATTCTTCCTATCAATGAGCATGGAATGTTTTTCCATTTTTTTATGTCCTCCCTTATTTCCTTGAGCAGTGGTTTGTAGTTCTCCTTGAAGAGATCCTTCACATCCCTCGTAAGTTGGATTCCTAGGTATTTTATTCTCTTTGTAGCAATTGTGAATGGGAGTTCACTCATGATTTGGCTCTCTGTCTGTTATTGGTGTATAGGAATGCTTGTGTGTTTTGCACATTGATTTTGTATCCTAAGTCTTTGCTGAAGTTGCTTATCAGATTAAGGAGTTTTGGGGCTGAGACAATGGGATTTTCTAAGTATAGAATCATGACTTCTGCAATCAGAGTCAATTTGACTTCCTCTCTTCCTATTTGAATACAGTTTATTTCTTTCTCTTGCCTGATTGCCCTGGACAGAACTACCAATACTATGTTGAATAAGAGTGGTGAGAGAGGGCATCCTTGTCTTGTGCCGATTTTCAAAGGTAATGCTTCCAGCTTTTTCCCATTCAATATAATATTGGCTGTGGGTTTGTCATAAATAGCTCTTATTATTTTGAGATACATTCCATCGATACCTAGTTTATTTAGAGTTTTTATCATGAAGCACTGTTAAATTCTATTGAGGGACTTTTCTGCATCTATAGAGATAATCCTGTGGGTTTGTCATTTGTTCTCGAATATGAACAGACATTTCTCAAAAGAAGACATTCATACAGCCAACAGACACATGAAAAAATGCTCATCATCACTGGCCATCAGAGAAATGCAAATCAAAACCACAATGAGATACCATCTCACACCAGTTAGAATGGCAATCATTAAAAAGTCAGGAAACAACAGGTGCTGGAGAGGATGTGGAGAAATAGTAACACTTTTACACTGTTGGTGGGATTGTAAACTAGTTCAACCATTATGGAAAACAGTATGGTGATTCCTCAAGGATCTAGAACTAGATGTACCATATGACCCAGCCATCCCATTACTGGGTATATACCCAAAGGATTATAAATCATGCTGCTATAAAGACACATGCACACGTATGTTTATTGCAGCACTATTCACAATAGCAAAGACTTGGAATCAACCCAAATGTCCATCAGCGACAGACTGGATTAAGAAATTGTGTCGTTTGTTCTCTTCATGTGATGGATTATGTTTATTGATTTGCATATGTTCAACCAGCCTTGCATCCCAGGGATGAAGCCGACTTGATCATGGTAGATAAGCTTTTTGATGTGCTACTGGATTTGATTTGCCAATATTCTATTGAGGATTTTCTCATCGATGTTTATTAGGTATATTGGCCTGAAGTTTTCTTTTTTTAGTTGTGTCTCTGTCAGATTTTGGTATCAGGATTATGCTGGCCTCATAAAATGAGTTAGGAAGAAATCTCTCCTTTTTAACTGTTTGGAATAGTTTCAGAAAAAAATAGTATCAACTCCTCTCTGTACCTGTAGTAGAATCTGGCTGTG